CCCCCCCCCCCCTCTACACTGTGGGTCCTACGCTCATGCCCCCCTCCTCCCCGCCGTCTCTTACGTCATGCATTTATGCTTCACCAAAGATTGATGTTATCAATATTACTGCACTCTGAATAACAGAATAAGTACAAAAGCAGATTATATGTCACTATGCAGCCCCAGTGACAAAATGAATGGAGAGAATGTAATGTGGATGAGTTTAAATGGAGTCAAAAGTATAGGGTCCTCCTATAAGTGAAATAGATAAATCACCAGTCAATGTAATACGAAAATTGAAATGGATTGTTTACAAATACATTGATGTTAAATAAATAACTAAATAAATAAATACAAAAATAAACAAATAAATAAATCAGTTTGATTGAATCTGTTACCTTGGAGCTGCAGTTCATCCAAACTGATAATGATTTGGCATTTAATTATCATTGCGATAGAGAAGACATGTCACAGCGCTCAGCACAATCACTGATATCCTGATTGATAAATTTTATTGCTGTCGTAATATCTCCAGTATCTCCAAATAGAAATGAAATGCCTTTCAGTCACTGGGGTCAACAGCATGTAAACTCAATGTAACATTTTGAAAACGGTTTAGTCTTATTTCAATGAGGATGTTGAGTAGCCTGACTTAGGCGTAAGCGTCATCATTATTTTCTAGACGAAACTTGTATTTCTTTACGCGATTTGTCGGACAAAAATAAAAGAAGTGATGTCCGACTTGAGCAATCTTATAAAAATATGTACAAGCTACTATTAGTCAGTTTATTTCACAAATCGTGGTCACAATTTACAGAAAACATGAAAATGTTGCCTTGTGCTGTAAAATGTGAACACCCCCTCTCGCCGACAAAGAAAAAATAGTATGGAGTTTAGTATCAGCTGGAAAATTTGTATTGATAAGTAATTTGAGTAAAGAGCAAACCCGGACCCTGTGCATTAAGAAAAGACTAACGAAAATGCAATCAGATTTTGCTTCTGTATTTCACCTTCTCTTGAATCTCAAGAGGATTTATTCTGCTGAAGTAGACTGCGGATCTCGTTGTTCCTCGTACCTCCCCCCCCCCCTCTACCTTCCCGCTCTCTCACCTCATTCACTTCTCATATATAGCGAGCGTAATGTAGATGACCCTATGCGTGAACTTTGCTGGGCGCTTCAGTGCTAGAAAAGTACCTGAAGAGAGTTTAAATTATCTTCCCCGTCTCGTGCAGTATAAGAATGGATAAAAGAAATAAATTGATAGACACAATATATATATACAGTATGTTGATTGATAATTTGCCTCTTTTAATCTGGGAGAATTTATCTCTGGTACCATAACCATATTCCAAACCAGAGTCTTCCTGATTCCCACCAGGCGTTGGACCTGCTGTCTTTTCCCTTATTCATACGAATTCTATTAAGTTTCACTTAGAACGACTTCCTGGTTCATGCATCTTTTGTTAAAGAGTCTAAAAATGAAGGTTTCGTCTACCTCGTCCTATGTTTGAAAGAATCCTGCCATTCCCTTTGTGCGTCTGTTTTTTTTTCTCTAAATGAACAATGAAGACTTCCTGTCAAACAATCCTGGGATAACCTTATTGGCTCATCTCCAAAGGTTTAAAACGCTCTGTGTGGTATATCTGATACTCCCTTAAATTTAACCAGGTAGATGTGAAAATATTAACTTTGCTCCACCTGCCGATAACTAAAAGGAACCACTTAAAAGATACGGTGATGCAACAATACAGTGTAAAAACTTTAATGTTGACAACAAAAGACATGGCGCTCAGCCCTTTTCATAGCGGTTGTGTTAAAGGCAATGCCAAGGGGAAATTCTTCGCATCGTTTTCGATTTTTTACGTAAAAATTCAATCTGCGTATTGAGGGGATTTTGAGTAATCAGGTTAAAACAGCATCTTAAATTTGCAAACTAAAGAACTAAAATTCCTCGTTCGCTTGTTTCATAACCATGGCACAAGTGGTGTGAGAGTGTGAGAGGTAAATTAACTTATGAAGAAATGCAAACAACCGTCCAGGGAAAAAATAAAAATCAGTTCATGAAGTTCTTAACAGATTCGTATATATGCGTAGTCAGTTCTTGCAATTCTTGATCAATCACGAACTGATTACGGTTCAACCACGAATCCTGAAATTTGTCAATTCCTGGTGATTCGTGGGATTCGTGGTCTGTGTGAAATAGGGGCATAATGGCAGATTTGCGTTTGGATCTGGTGTTAACTCCCTCACTTACATTTTCTTTTACATCTTTCTTATACATTAATACAGGAATGTTATACATTAATGCAGCGTAGAAATTAACTGCTGAATGTTTCTATTGACCAACCAAATATGAAATGTATAAACCGAAAGATTATCGGAACCATTCCAAACAATATTACACGTAACTAAGGGCAGTTTGTTCGACCCCCCTCTCCCCCTACGTGTCTTTCAAACATCTGACGAGGTCACATAATGTGTTCTTTTCTATACTACTTGATCAAATCAGTCTGTTCACAAACGACAAATACAACAGTACATGTATTTAGCAGTTGGCAAATAGCTCACATTACCAATCACTTCGATATGGAAGTAGAACTTTACGTACGTCCAGTGTCTTTTTCAGGTCAATTAAACACGTTTTCAGCCTCTCTCCCCCGTTGAAATTGCTGGATATGGGCCTGAAAAAGCTTTTCTTTTAATATTTGTCTGAATGTTTCTCTCTTAAGGGATAACAGATGTTGGGGAGTTCCCATCAAGCGAATGGGACAAGCTAACTGGCTTATCTTCAAGTGTGAGGTACGTTTTTGGTTATATTCCAGTGTGTTTTTTTTAATCCACAAGTAGTACTTCGAGTATTTAAGTGAAGGTCGCTTATTATAAAACATTTTAACAATTGGTCCGGTGTATGTGGGGAGGGGGGGGGGAGGGGGGTAGATCCTTAAAAGCCACAATCCCCTGAGATTCCTCAAGCAGTGTCTGTCGCTGCAGTATAATATCTTAAATATCACCACCCCTACTTTTAACGCAAATACACCACCGAGGTCATATTCTTAATGTTGTGTAATTGAATCTTACTGGAAGGTTAAACATATTCGCCGGAACCTTTTTTAGAAATCAATCAACCGTTATACAGGTACTTTGTTATATGGAATGGCCAAGAAGGAAGTTTGCTGAACTTCAAAGGGAATTCCCTTTCGGGAAGATTAACCGAACACGGTAAATACCATTCAACAATAAAGCTAACACTATGTAGATCATTCTTTTTTAGAATAGAAATACTAACACGCACTTAAGAATGAATTGGCCATATGAAACGAATACTGTGGCGGCTTTATGTTCATGTTCGTTAGGCATAAAAGGTTAGGACTCACTGAAAAGAGGAATATTTAGGAAGTTAGAAAAAGTGTGCTTGCATGACAATTGAACACTGAGCCTCATAAGGCATTTTGGCATATAACACGACACTGTCAACGTCACTCTGTGCGCAGTAGTCAAGAGAATAGTACCCTACTGGTATCAACACTATAAAGCTAGGTACAAATCATGCATATTGCAACAGAAGCACCAGGGGGTTACCTTTGCATTATATTATTTTTGTTGCTCTTTTGCAACGGTACTACGTGCAGTGGTGTTGATGGAGACAGTTTTGTGGAACAGTGGCCAAAGGAATGCCGCTGTTATAGCACGCCCCCATCCAACCACACAGTTGATTGCTCAGGGAGGTCCATCAGATCCATACCCCTGGGGATTCCACGTAATACAACAGTCTTAGACCTACGAAACATCGGTCTTTCTGAAATACCGCCATATACATTAAGTCATCTGGAGAATCTAAACACACTTTACCTTGGAGGAAATGACATAACAGCGTTCAACGAGAACAGTTTTGCGGGTTTAAAGGCATTGGGATATTTGAATCTGTTTCCTATTCATCCAGGTATGAATATCGACTATAATGCCTTCCCTCCAACTTTGTTCCGTGAATTAACCTCGTTGAAAACCCTTCATATTGGTGGAATGGGTTCGGGTAAACATGTTCAACAAGATTACATAGATCGCACAATAGCGCCATTACACAAGTTGGAGGAGTTGTTTTTATCTTATTTGCCTCATGGAAATGTATCATTTGGTCCTGGATATAGTAACCTATCGTCTCTGAAGACGCTGGTTTTCAAAATGCATTCAAGTGCTGTGACACAGTTGCAAAAAAATGCTTTCTTGTGGTTAAAAAACTGCTCAATCGAAAAACTTGCTTTTATTGGCTATGACATTAACCGTGCAGAACCAGATATGTTATCTATTTTTCCACGTTTAAAAGAATTATATCTGGAGTGTAGTTCTTTTCTGTCGTCGCAGAATGAAGAAGATTTTATTTGCGGCTTAGAGAACAACACATCAATTGAAACTATTCGCACAAAAAATGTTTTCCTAAGTTCTTCCTCACAATGGAGGATATCAGGGACAGCATTCAAATGCTTAGAAAATACGTCATTGAAAGCACTAGAATTGATTCACAACACCATAGAAGAATTTGACCTGTATAACTTGTATTATTTTCCGAATTTGGAGTATCTAGATCTGTCGAATAATCTTATTGTCTCTTTCCCATTAAATGGAAAGGAAATGTCTGGAAATTTCTTTGGCTATTTTATGCATTTTTCAGCACTGGTAGGGAACTTGAAGTACATGAGGATCGACAATAACTTGAGAAACAAAGATACGGCCTATAAACAATGTGACTTAACGCCTTCTTTTTGGAAAGGCCACCCGTCATTCAAACTTAAAAAATACGTTCCAAGCTTGTTAAATGTAAAAGACGTGCCATCACCAATTTTTCGATTTTCTCTTCCTATTAATATTGAATTCCTTTCGATTAGTTGGTGGCCAATTTTGGACAATAAACTTTCTGTTTCGTGCGTCTTTAAAGGGAACTTATATTTTTATCCAAATAATCTTCGCTTTTTTAGGATGGAAGGCATTGGTATCCGTTATATCCATTATGTGTTTTATGGATTGGACACTTTGGAGCATCTCGATGTTTCCCATAATATCCTCAACTGTCTTCCAAGAGATTTTTTCAATGGTCACTTTCCATCGTTGAGGTCCCTAAATCTTGGTGACAACAAACTAGGACCTTTAATAAGTGAGGGTGGGATACTTCCAGTAAAACTCCCAAGCTTAGAGTTTTTGGATTTATCACTGAATGAGATCAGGACCATCCCTAAGAACTTTTTTGAACACCTTGTCTCCCTTCAACGGCTGGTGCTGCACGGCAATTACCTGAATACGGTGTCGTTCAGTATGGTTAATTTCGTGTCTGTGGAATACATAGATCTGAGCAACAACAAACTACAGTCGTTTTCATCAGAAGAGATGGAAAATATTGAGAAACTAAATTCTAGCTTAAGTATTCATTTGAATATGACGAACAATCGTCTGGACTGCACCCTTTGCGATGGGGAGGAATTTCTTCAATGGCTTATTTTTGCAAATATGACAGTTACATTTTCCAACGACTCCGATTGCCCCATGAATGGTTCAAAAACAGGTCTGCGGAATACACTAAATGAACTTCGTGAGAAATGTGGTATTGGCTATCAGATAAAAAGTCCAAATCAGTGGCTGTCTCTCGGGATCTCCCTTTCTAGTATCCTTGGTGTGACATGCGGTTTAGTAGCAGCGTACATATATCGCTGGAATATCAAGTATGTGTTATATTCAGGGTTTATGTGGTTACGGATGTGATTATGACATCATAGTTGTGAATTATGTGTGTGTGTGTGTGTGTGGTGTGTGTGTGTGTGTGTGTGTGTGTGTGTTGTGTGTGTGTGTGTGTGTGTGTGTGTGTGTGATGAGAGAAAAAGAATGAGAGAGACTGCAACATGTTAATAAAAATGTATATAAAATGCACCAAATATTATTGTACAAACTCTGTCATAAACACGTACAGGAGAATAATCTTTAAATGTTTTTTTTTTTTCTTCATGTGAAAAAAGCTCAGTTTAATTATCAAATGCGTCTTATATTTTAGATATCGACTATATCTACTTCGACGCCGGTTACGTAGACAAGGCTTCATTGCAACCCCGCCTGGTCACGTGTACATTTCATACGATGATGGTGATGACCAGTGGGTAGTGAATGAACTTTTACGTCATTTAGAAGAGGAGAACGAGCTTGATGTCATTATAGATCAGAGGGATTTCATTGGTGGAGCATCTCTGGCTGAAGCTATCGTCGAAGCTGTGGATAACAGCAGGAAGACAGTTCTCGTTCTATCAGAAAACTCCGTGCTTAACTCGTGGTGTGAATTTGAGTTTGAAATGTCATTGGCTCGCGGCTACAATTCAGTGATACCAGTCATGTTTCAAACGGTTCCGTTTGATGCCATGACGAAATCACTTCGAAAATTCATCAAAGCAAGAGGCTATGTAAAATGGTCTGGCTCTCAAACTGGACAGCGTATGTTTTGGAGACGTCTCATGGATGATATTCTTGACGTAAATAATCAACTTGTGCATGGTGGTGAAGGTGACGACACTGAAATGCTGTAAAAACCACACATTATATATGACAACTTGTATAGAAAAAATAAAAAAGAATAATTGGTATTGTCTGATATATCAAACTATGAATGATGTATTTTCGTTTTGTATCAGGTGACATCTCTATATCATTTTTTTTTTTTTTTTTTTTTTTTTGCATTTGTGTTCATTTTCTAAATAGTGCACATAGTGCTTATCGCCAGCATAGTAATTGTAGTGCTTATTTCCCCGATAGTAGGAAGTCAGAATGGACCCGTGTGTTATATTTAATTTATATAATGATATTTCATTTCCCTATATCATTTATAGCCTTCTTTTATTATTTCCAACGTGAGAATCAGGCGCTTGATTTTACCCCTTGTCATACCGGGGAGTGGAAAGTTGGGACTGTATGGACGGATGTATGTATGCATATGCCATATTTTTCTTTTGTACTAGCTACACTGTTATACATGTTGAATTTAAACGAACAGGATTTCTCTACATTAAGCCATTAGCTCTACAGTTTTGGAAACAGCTAGCATTCGTTTTTCTTTATATAAAGACATGGGGAGAAAAAACACCTATAAATAACAGTTTGTTTTAAAATATATGGTAAGTGCAAGTGTATCTAATGTGTAAAATAAAATCACTGCTTTGTATATGTATCAGAATCTGTTGCTTTACTACATTGTAACGTAGATATTGTTTAAACGGTAATATTAACGAAGGAAAGTCTCAGAATTAGTAGATGGTATGTGAAGGGGATGTCCTAGATCAAGGTACATATTATGATACTTACAGGTGTGGCATTTGAGATATACTTGTATTTCATTACCTGTGATTTGTAAAATACATTAGAGGATGATACTTTTAAAGATGTTTAATGTTTAAAGAAAATACATGTAGACTGATTAAGTAACATTTACTAAAATTATGTTAAATTAAAGATGGGATTCATTTGTGCCTTGATCTAAGATATCCACTGCACACGCCACACACTCGGTCAATTAATTTGGTCACTTAAATTGTCCATTATGCTGTTAACAATGCAAAAACACCATAAGGAATGGACCCAGCCAGGGCGTAATAAACATGGGGTCTGGGCTTTTTATGCATGGGACTAGATTTGATCCGGGTCTTTGACATATATATATATATATATATATATATATATATATATATATATATATATATATATATATATATATACTGGACAAAAGAAGTGTCACCCCTACTGAGCCAATACTATGGGGGAGATAAATGACTGTGGAATGATATGCTCCTGGTATCATTTCCTTAACATCAAATTTCACAAAAAATCACAAAATGAGAGCAAAATATACATTCTACCAAAATATGCAGTTTCAAGTCCAAAATTAGTACTTAGTGGCATAGCCACGCGACCTAATGAAAGGTGCCACTCTACGAAGCAAGGTTTCATATAATTGTCTGATGCGTTCAGGGCTTACGCTGGCCCAAGCATGAAACACTGAATATAACAGAGTTTCTCTGCTGGTTAGACGGGCATTTGTAAAAAGTTTTGACATATCATGCCACACATTTTCTTTTATGTTCGCATCCGGACTCTGGGCAGGCCACATCACCCTGCGAATGTCCTGTTGGTCAAACCAATCATCAACTGCTCTGGGCCTGTGACAAGGAGCATTGTCATCCTGGTGAACAAATGGATAATTCCTGTCACCAAACATGTTAGTAATAGATGAGAGCAAACCTGACCCCAAAACATCAATATGTTTCTAGTGATTCATGTTTCCATTAACCACTATCAATTTGCCCAAGCCATGGATGCTGATGCAGCCCCACACCATGATGAATAAGCTGTTCCAGGTTCGAAAATTCAGTGCATGTGGTTCAAATGCTTTACCAGCAGTTTGCCAGCATAGTACCCGTATGTCATCAGAGGTCAGACCAAAGCGACACTCATCAGAAAAAAATATATAGGACCAACTGTCATGAACTGTCCAGTTCCAAATCCTGTTGACCCTAGTTTACTCGACGTTGCCTGTTTTGTAACGATATAAGAGGTTTCAGTCTTGCTACCCTGTTGTACACTCTCTGAGCATGTAACCGACGCCTAGCAATTTTCACAGACACATTCTTATGTGTGAAATTGTTCCACTGTGTTGTCAACTGACAAGCAGTGTCGAGCTTTGACAACCTGGACATCAAAATTAGTCACATTATAAGTAGACCAGGCATTATAAGTACCCAAGATCTGCCTACTTTTATCACTCTGAGTTAGGGGGTGACACTTCTTTTGTCCAGTGTGTGTATATTGTCGATTTATATTTTGCAGTCACAAATATACCAAATTCCTCTTAAGTCACTGCTTTATTAAAAATTCCGTTAAATGCTCAATGACCCAATTCGGATGAATTTGATACGACCTAGAACACGTCTTCCTGGTTCGTGCAAGTTTTGTTAAAGGGCCTTATAGATGTGAAAGTTATGTTAACCCCGTCATGTGTTTGGAAAATCTTGTTTTATTTACTTTTATGTGGCTGCCTATTTCCTTAGGAGTAAATGCACAATGGAGACTGCCTATCAAACAACCCCGGCTAAACCTGATTTGGTAACCTTCAAAGGTGTAAAACGCTTTGGGTGCTGTGTAAACATACTTTCCACAACCTGCCTGTGACTCATTTAAAATTAACCAGGAAGTTTTGGTCATATCAACTTAGCTTCAACTGGTGGTAACTAGCAATTCACCCATTATCTGAACCATTAATAAGATGCTGTGATGCTCCAATACAGGGGTTTTAAACATCAATACATGGATGTTATACATGAATACAGGGAAGTTATACACCAAAACAGGGATGTTATACTGGTACATCAACATCGACAACGATCGACAAAGACAACACAAATATAGTTTATATCACAACACGCACAGTCAGAGTTACTATATTTAGTGATACCACCGTGTTGATCAATCTAACTTTAAGATAGAAATTAACTGCGGAATGTTTCTATTTACCAAACAAATATATGTATAATAATAAATGTATAAACCGAAAGATTATCGGAAACATTCCAAACAATATTACACCGTATTGTAGTTCATTTTTCCATTTAAAAAGCGGAAAACTGGATGCTACAAGTATAAGGAAAATATTAAACAGTAACTTCTTTCAAAATGAACTATTTTTATTTATTACTTTACTTACTTTGAATGGAATAGTATAAATAATTATCAGATTTGATAATAAATGCACGTATAAGGACATTATTTCAAGCCATTGTGGTAGTGACGTTCGATTCTCCATCACGCTATGTCTTATCGATAGCAATTGTGTTAAGGGTAATGTAAAGTGGAATTCCCATAAATTGTATTCGATTTTAAGAGAATGTTGTGCGTGTTTAATTGATCTGAAAAAGACACTGGGCGTACGGAACTACTTCCATATCGAAGTAATTGGTAATGTGAGCTATTTACCAACTGCTAAGTACGCGGATATCATGCATTTTCAAGGTAGATTAATATTAATAATAATATAAAAAATTGAGATTACATATAAAATCTTGTAACTTCCCTGCTGTGGTGAGAATACAACTCTCAACGTGAAGTATTTTATGGTTTGGGAAGGATAACATAACGCCAGGGAAGGATGGCATTGCGTCACGTTCCACAGGGTTAAATTGGTGTAGTTAATAAAAGCAAGCATTTCAATTGGACAGACTTTTCATGGCATAAACGCGCCCCACTTACAGGGTACCTGCAAGTCGTTGGTACCTGTTAATGCAACTAATATGCTTATTTATTCGTAGTATTCCTTTGCTTCGACAGTCTTGAGACAAGAAAAGTTATTTTGCTATATTTTACGTGCATAAACTGCTGTGGTATTTTTCGTTTTTGAACAGAATGATTTGATCAAATAAACAAGGGGTTAGTATAGAAAAGAACGCATTATGTGACCTCGTTGGATGTTTGAAAGACACATAGGGGAAGAGGGGGGGTCGAATAAATCGTCCTTTTTGCCGGGAAGAGGTCATTCATGGACGAATTGGATGCAGGTGCAGGCAGGTTTTGTGGTAAAAGTCCACTTTTTCAGCCTCTCTCCCCCGTTGAAATTGCTGGATATGGGCCTGAAAAAGCTTTTCTTTTAACATTTGTCTCAATGTTTCTCTCTTTAGGGATAACAGATATTGGGGAATTCCCACCAAGCGGATAGGACAAGCTAACTGGCTTATTTTCAAGTGTGAGGTTCCTTTTTGGTTATATTCAAGGGTGCTTTTTTAATCCAACAAGTAGTACTTCGAGTATTTAAGTGAAGGTTGCTTATAATAAAACATTTTGACAATTGGTCTGGTGTGTGTGTGGGGGGGGGGGGGGGGGGGGGGGAGATCCTTAAAAGCCATAATTAAAGCAGTGTCTGTCGCTGCAGTTAAATATCTTAAATATCATCACCCCTACTTTTAACGCAAATACACCATCCAGGTCATATTCTTAATATTGTGCAATTGAATCTTACTGGAAGGTTGAACATATGCGCCGGAACCTTTTTTAGAAATAAATCAACCGTTAAAAAGGTACTTTGTTATATGGAATGGCCAATAAGGAAGTTTGCTGAACTTCAAAGGTAATTCCCTTTCGGGAAGCTTAACCGAACACGGTAAATACGATTCAACAATAAATCTAACACTATGTTGATCATTCTTATTTAGAATAGTAATACTAACGCGTACTAAAGAATGAATTGGCTATATGACACGAATGCTGTTTATGCTCGTTAGGCAAGGAAAGGTTAGGACTCATTGAAAAGAGGAATATTAAGGAAGTTAGAAAAAGTGTGCTTGCATGACAATTGAACACTGAGCCTCATAAGGCATTTTAGCATATAACACGACACTGTCAACGTCACTCTGTGCGCAGTAGTCACGAGAGTAGTACCCTACTGGTATCAACACTATAAAGCTAGATACAAATCATGCATATTGCAACAGAAGCACCAGGGGGTTACCTTTGCATTATATTATTTTTGTTGCTCTTTTGCAACGGTACTACGTGCAGTGGTGTTGATGGAGACAGTTTTGTGGAACAGTGTCCAAAGGAATGCCGCTGTTATAGCACGCCCCCATCCAACCACACAGTTGATTGCTCAGGGAGGTCCATCAGATCCATACCCCTGGGGATTCCACGTAATACAACAGTCTTAGACCTACGAAACATCGGTCTTTCTGAAATACCGGCAAATTCATTAAGTCATCTGGAGAATCAAAATGTACTTTACCTGGAAGGAGATGACGTAACAGCATTCAACGAGAACAGTTTTGTCGGTTTAAAGGCATTGGGTTATTTCAATCTGTTTCCAATTGATCCAGGTAAAAATATCGACTATAATGCCTTCCCTCCAACTTTGTTCCGTGAATTAACCTCGTTGAAATCCTTTGGTGAAATGGGTTCGGGTAAAAATGTTCAACAAGATTACATAGATCGCACAATAGCGCTATTACACAAGTTAGAAGAGTCGTTTTGGTCTCATTTGTCTCAAGGAAATGTACTATTTGGTCCTGGATATAGTAATATATCGTCTCTGAAGAGGCTGGTTTTCAAAATGCATTCAAGTGCTGTGACACAGTTGCAAAAAGAGGCTTTCTTCTGGTTAAAAAACTGCCCAATCGAAAAACTTGCTTTTATTGGCTATGACATTAACCGTGCAGAACCAGATATGTTGTATATTTTTCCACGTTTAAAAGAATTATATCTGGAGTGCAGTTCTTTTCTGTCGTTGCAGAATGAAGGAGATTTTATTTGCGGCTTAGAGAACAACACATCAATTGAAACTATTCGCATGAAAAATGTTTTCCTACGTTCTTTCTCACAGTGGAAGATATCAGCGACAGCTCTCATATGCTTAGAAAATACAGGTACGTCGTTGAAAGCACTAGTATTGATTCACAACAACGTAGAAGAATTTGACCTGTATTACTTGTATTATTTTCCGAATTTGGAGTATCTACATCTGTCGAATAATCTTATTGTCTTTTCCCCCATAAATGGAAAGGACGTTTCTGGCAATATCAGGGGTTCTTTTACGTATATTTTCCTACTGCTAGGGAACTTAAAGTACATGAGAATCGACAATAACTTGAGAAACAAAGATACGGGCCCTCTACAATATGCCTTAACGCATTCTTTTTGGAAAAGCCTCCCGTCATGTAAGCTTAAACAATACGTTCCCAGGTCTTTTAATGTAAAAGACATGCCATCACCAGTTTTACGATTTTCTCTTCCTATTAACATTGAATTCCTTTCGATGAGTTGGTGGTCAAATTTGGGCAGTAAACTTTCTGTTTCGTGCCCCTTTAAAGAAAGCGTATATATTTATCCAAATAAGCTACGCTTTCTTAGGATGGAAGGCGTTGGTGTATTTTATGAATTGGACAATTTGGAACATTTCAATGCTTCCCATAATATCCTCAACTGTCTTCCAAGAGACTTTTTCAATGGTCACTTTCCATCGTTGAGGTCCCTAAATCTTGGTGACAACAAACTAGGACCTTTAATAAGTGAGGATGGGATACGTCCAGTAAAACTCCCAAGGTTAAAGTTTTTGGATTTATCACTGAATGAGATCAGGACCATCCCTGAGAACTTTTTCGACCGCCTTGTCTCTCTTCAGCGACTGGTGCTGCTCGGCAATTACCTAAATGCAGGTTCCTTTGGTATGATAAATTACATGTCCGTGGAAGATTTGAGCCACACCACGGAATGGGCATATTCATTAGACTATTTGGAAACTAAGGGGGACCTAGATTCTAGCTTAAGTATTCATTTGAATATGACGTACAATCCTAGAGCCTGCACCTTTTACAATGGGGAGGGATTTCATCGAAGGAGGGCCCGCAGCAGTACATATTTGAAGCAGATTTATCACAAGATTTGGAAACTAAAGGGAAACCATATTCTAGCTTAAGTATCCAACTGAATATGACAAACAATCCTACAGACTACAACCATTGCGATAGGGGGGAATTTCTTCAATGGCTTGTTTTTTCAAATATTACAGTAACATTTTCTAACGACTCTGATTGCCCCATGAATGGTTCAAAAACAGGTCTGCGGTATACACTATATGAACTTTGTGAGAAATGTGATATTGGCTATCAGATAAAAAGTCCAAATCAGTGGCTGTCTCTTGGGATCTCCCTAACTAGTATCCTTGGTGTGACCTGCGGTTTAATAACAGCTTACATATATCGCTGGAATATCAAGTATGTATTATAATCAGGGTTTACGTGGTTACGGATGTTTGTAAACGGATGGTTGTAAATTGTGTGTGTGTGTGTGTGTGTGTGTGTGTGTATGTGTGTGTGGGTGGGTGGGTGTGGTGAGAGAAATAGAATGATAGAGACTGCAATATGTTAATAAAAATGTATGTAAAATGCGCCTAATCTCATTTTACAAACTCTATCATATACACGTTAAGGAGAATAAACTTTAAATGGCGTTTTTTATGTGAAAAAAAAAGCTGAATTTCATTATAAAATGCATCTTATATTTTAGATATCGACTATATCTACTTCGACGCCGGTTACGTAGACAAGGATTTATTGCAACCCCGCCTGGTCACGTGTACATTTCATACGATGATGGTGATGATCAGTGGGTAGTGAATGAACTTTTACGTCATTTAGAAGTGGCGAAAGAGCTTGACGTCATTATAGATCAGAGGGATTTCATTGGTGGAGCATCTCTGGCTGAAGCTATCGTCGAAGCTGTGGATAACAGCAGGAAGACAGTTCTTGTTCTATCAGAAAATTTCGTGCTAAACCCTTGGTGTGAATTTGAGTTTGAAATGTCACTGGCTCGCGGTTACAATTCGGTGATACCAGTCATGTTTCAAACGGTCCCCTTTGATGTCATGACAAAATCGCTTCGGAAATTCATAAAGGCAAGAGGTTATATAAAATGGTCCGACAGTCAAGCAGGACAGCGTTTATTTTGGAAACGTCTCATGGATGCTATTCTCGCCGTCAATAATTAACTTGTGCATGATGGTGAAGTTGACCACACCGATTTGCTGTAATAACCACATGTTATATTTATAATTAACAACTTGTGCAGAAAAATATCCAAATAAAAGGAAAATAACACCTTTGAGGTAGTCTGACATATCATATTGTGAATTTTTTAATTTTTTTAAAATTGATTGATAAATTAATTAATTAATTAATTAATTAATTTATTTATTTATTTATTTATTTATTTATTTATTTATTTTTTTTTTTTTTTGCATTCTGAATTTCTGTCCATTTTGTAAATACACCGTGAATGTGTACATACAGTGCTCATCGCCAACTTAGTAATGGAGATGCTTATTTCTCTGATAGTAGGAAGGAAGTAAGAATGGAACCGTATATGATATTAGATTTTTTTAGTGATCTTTTCAATAACATTACCAGCCTTCACTAATTTTTTTTCAAACGTGAGAATCAGACGCTTGATTATACCCTCTTGTCATCCCGGGGGTTGGAGAGTGGGGATTGTATGGACTCCTTTCATTATAGGTGTTCTGTTATATACAGTATATTGAATTTAAATGAACAGCATTTCTCTGCATAAAGCCTTTAGCTCTACAGTTTTTGGAAACGGCTAGCACGTATTTTTGGTTTATATAAAGACATAGGGAGAAGAAAAAACCCGTGAATAACACTTAATTTTAAAATACATTGTAAATACGTGTGTATGTAATGTATATAATAAAATTACTGCTTTGTATGTGTATCTGACGAGTTAATGTAAGTTGCTCTACTACATCCTTACGTAGATATCGTGTAAACGGATTTACATTATCTGAGCGAAATCTGATTGTAATTCTGCAGTCACAAATATATCAAATTCCTGCTAAGTCACTGCTTTAATAAAGATTTCGTAAAATGCTCAATGACCCAATTTGAATGCATTTGATACGACCTAGAACGTCTTCCTAGTTCGCGCATGTTAAGTAAACGGGCCTTATACATGTAGATGTGAAGGTTTTGTTAACCCCGTCATGTGTTTGGAAAATCTTATTTTATTTACTTTTATGCGGCTGCATATTTCTTTAGGAGCAAATGCACAATGGAGACTGCCTATCAAACAAACCCAGCTAAATCTAATTTAGTAACCTTCAATGGTGTAAAACGCTTTGGGTGCTGTGTAAACATACTTTCCCCAACCTGCCTGTGACTCATTTAAAACTAACCAGGAAGTTTTGATCATATCAACTTAGCTTCAACTGGTGGAAACTAGCAATCCACCCATTATCTGAACCACTAATAGGATACTGCGATGCTCCAATACAGGGATGTTAAACATCAACATCGACAATAAGCGACACAGACAACACAAATATAGTTTATATCACAACACGCACACGTCAGAGTTACTACATTATGTGATACCACCGTGTTGATCAATCTTACTTTAAGATAGAAATTAACTGCGGAATGTTTCTATTGACCAACCAAATATGAAATGTATAAACCAGAAGATTATTGGAACCATTCCAAACAATATGACATCGTATAGTAGTTCATTTTTCCATTTAAAAAGCAAAAAACTCGATATATTAGGAAAATGTTATACAGTAGCTTCTTTCTAAATAAAATGTTTTTATTTATTTATTTATTTGTTTGTTTGTTTATTTATTTATTTTGAACGGAACAGTATAAATAATAATCAGATTTGATTATAAATGTACGTATAAGGACACTATTTCAAGTCATTGTGGCAGTGACGCTCGATTCACCATCAGGCCATATCTTATCGATAGCAATTGTGTTGAGGGTAATGCAAAGGGGGATTCCCATAACTTGTATTTGATTTCTTTTATATGAAAATTCGATCTGTGAATTAAGGGGATTTTTGTGTGATATGCTTTATGCGCCATCTTAATTTTGAGGAGTAAATCTTACTTCCTCGTTCTACTTATTACACAATCATGGCACAACTTGTGTCTGAAGTTAGTAAACTTGTCAAGAAGTGCAATCAACTGTCAAATGAAAACTTAGAGCTACGACAGGAACAGGAAAATCATGCTACTGCGATACGAGAGCGCGACGCACAAATATCAGAGCTGAACGGGATGATTCAAATTCTGCGAAGGGGGGCGGCTTCATGCTTAGATTCAGAAAGGCGGCTAGCGCTTGAAAATGCGACCCTTCTTGATTCCAATCAGAATCAAAGTCTGGAACTTAAAGAGCGGGTGAAGAAAATACATCAACTTCAGGCTGAATTAAAGAAAGCCCGTCTCGATGGTATCGAGGTAAAAGGTCAACTGACGTCACTGAGGTCTAAGGTCACCGCTGCTTATGAACGTATCCAACAGCTGGAGACTGAGAATGCTCAGTTAAAGGCTGACTTGAACGTTGCCAGACAGGAATACGAGCCCTCTGCGTTTAATTCAGAGCACCCCCCTCAGCTTGAAGAAGAAGAAGAAGAAGAGTATGATGATGATGATGATGAAGAAGATGAGGAAGAAGAAGAAAACGAAGTCAATAGCCATACTGACACCACAGCTGGTGAAGTTAGGAGACAGGTGACAGGAAACGATACAGAGGCTGGGGAACGAGTGAAAAGCAACGATGTCTTGTATGTGAAAACATATGGACAGATCTTTTATACATCTTACGGTCTAGTAGTTAAAGTATCGGATATTATACGTCAGTGTGATGAACACAATAAAGAGCATTTTGGTTGGTGTCCACATGGATATCGATATTGAGAACAAGTGCTTGTAAGTTGCCTTAATTTTTTTTTTTTTTTTTTTTTTTTTTTTGACAACATCATCAACAACAACAATAATAATATCTTTTTATGAATTTGAAAGCTCTGGCATGTTTCACCGAGGCTTCAGTGATATTAAAAATGTTGAAATAAGCACAATATAATTCATTGAAAATATATTATAGTAGGCCTACAGTTTTCTAAATTACAATTTTCTAGTAGAGAAAGAGAATGATTAAATGACGAGTTTTCTCTTATGTCAGTACTTTTTAAATTGATAATATAGTTTTGAGGCGACAGTGGTGCAAAAATAATTTACAACTTTTATTTGGTTAACAAGCACTAGTTGTGTTATACGAAATGCATGTATTTCACAACTTTGCTGGTACAGGCCCGTACCTAGCAGTTGCAATATTTTCTGAAAATGTGGACCTTTTGTCGTGAAACATTATTTTATCTAGATCAAATTTACCCAGAGGGGACCTTTTCCCAGCAAAAAGGGGGGTCTTTTCAACCCCCGAATCCCTCCTGGCTACAAGGCTGTTGTGCATACTCTATGTAGATATTATTATTTTCATTACAGTGGCCTGGTGACAACAGAACACTTGCAGAGGTCGGAATCCCACCTAACGCAATGATCCACTGTGGTGAGTATTCGGAGTTCACATCTCTTAGTCCTCCAACTCCAGGGTCCAGTTTCATCAACACTGGATAGCGCTATCCTATGGATAGCACTATTCATTGGATAAAACTGTTATCCTCTAGACAGTTATCCTGAGAAGAGCAGCAATTTTTTATCCAAATGATAGCAATTTCAGAAACTAAAATAAGTATCTATGGCGTTTAGAAATCATCACATTACCAACAGGATAATTGACCAGAGGGTAACACTTCCTTCTAATGGAGTCGTCCAAGGTGACCGAAGTTCTCCCGAAGCTTTACGGGATTTGAAAGAGAAGGGGCTCAGAAATAATGGCAGACTTTTATGTGCAGTGCAGGAAAGAATAAAAAATTACAACATTTCTTCAAGGACTTTTCTCTAGTTGTTTGATGGAATTGGTTATTTATGTATTTCAGGTCCAACAATAGAAGCGATGATGGATGCAGCCAAACAGGCACATGAAAATCATTCTGCAAAATGAGATGTTGTGCTGCACCAATGCAGACGCACCAAACGTGAGCGCCAACAAGAATGGTCATAAAGAACACGCGTTATGTTTTCTTTAAATCTAATCAAAATCAACTGTGACAGCTGTGAAGTGATTTTTAAAATTGTAACTCATCTACTATTAAGTTCAACTCTTACATTTGTAACTCTTAGGTAATTTATAAGTTGTGTATATTGTGTAAATAGAATCTACAGGTATATGTGTGTGACTTTTTAAAAAATCTAATAATTAAGAGGAAAACAAATGTTGTATGTGTTTAATTGACCCGAAAAAGACACTGGACATACGGAACTACTTCCATATCGAAGTAACTGGTAACGTGAGCTACTTGCCAACGGCTAAGTACGAGAAGAACCGAAAACATATATGTAATACGATACGTGAATGTACAAGCTAACAATGTATAACACTGTATTGCAGTTTACTTTCTTTTCCTTTGAATAGCTTAATACATACCACCACAAAGAACATACAGTGTAGGTATAAAGTGCGCGTCATTCATTTACCTGTACAATTTGCTGAATCTGCTCACAACCTTCATTCAGCCTTGTTCGCTTTCAGAAAGAAATGAGCACGCAGCTAGCTAGATGTCAAGCGTGTCCAAGTTAGATCAATATACCATATGTTCTACAGTAAATTCTGCATTTCCTTTACGAAAATGAAACATTTCACCTATTTTTTTCTTTATTCCAAAGACAATCAACAACATGAATGCGCCCCTTTTACAGGGTACCTGGAAGGCGGTAGTACCTGTTAATGCAAATCAATGCGCTTCGTTGAAAACCAAAGTTTTCGGAGAAGTAGGTTGCTATTTAACCAGGATCGAGTGGCAAAGGGTCACCTAGTAGAATGTATGGAAGAAAAATACTGTTACAGCTGATGTAATGGGGACAGTGTATGGTCTACACACGCATGTATACATGTATCTGCTGAACTGGATAAAATCGATTCATACAATGAAATTTACAAATGTTCAAGTTGATCAAGTCCTGAAACAGGCCAGGTGGTAACAGAGTAGTATCGCGGATCATATTGTAAATAGGGGACAATTTAATCTAAGTTGTCCAGTGTCTCCAAACCAACAAAACTATATATTTGTTGAACGCTTCTCTGATATTTACTCCAACATAAAAATAGTCTTAAAAGTTGACTCAACGCATAAAGTACCATCCTGATAAATCCCACGTGTCACACAGGAATATTCAAGCCCTCTGTGTTTCGTGTCAAAGATGAAGATCGAGCTACTTGAACAGTTCACACTTTAGTGTGTTATGGAATATACTGATATCTAGCGGCACGATATTGGGCACGTACTTAGCGTATGGTCCACAGTCACAGCCAAACAGTTGCTCAAGTTCCACCCAAAACTAGCAAACTAATGCCGGCATAGTTTCGGTTTACATTTTACATAAAAGTGGGTGATTTCGGCTCTCTAAGTCAGAGTATTCCTTTGCTTCGACAGTCTTGAGATAAAAAAGTTATTTTCCTGTATTTTAAACTGCAGTAATACAGCATTTATTTGTCATTTGTGATCAGACTGATTTAAACGAATAAACAAATGTATAGAAAGTAACGCATCATGTGACCTCGTCAGATGTTTGAAAGAGAGACACGCAGCGCTGGAGAGGGGGTGCCGAACAAACTGTCCTTTTTTGCCGGGAAGAGGTCATGCATCCATGGACAAAATTGAATGTAGGTGCACGCAGGTTTCGTGGTAAAAAGTCCACCACTTTTCAACCCCCTCCCTTTGAAATCGCTGGCTAAGGGGCCTAAAAGAGCTTTTCTTTTAACATTTGTCTGAATGTTTCTCTTAAGTGAAGGTTGATCATCCTAAATCATTTCTTACGATTGGTCCAGTGTGTGTGGGGGGGGGGGGGATGGGGGGGTAGATCTTTTAAAGACATAAAAGACATAATCCACGTGAGATACCTCAAGCAGTGTCTGTCTCTGCAGTTAAATATCATTATCCTTGCTTTATATGCAAATACAGCATCCAGACTATATTTTTACTGCAATGTAATTGAATCTTACTAGAAGGTTGAACAGTATGCGCCGGGATCTTTTTCAGAAATCAATCAGCCGTTATACAGGTACTTTGTAATACGGAATGGCCAATAAGGTAGCTTGTTGAACTTGAAGGGGAATTCCCTTTTGGAAAGCTAAACCCAACACGGTAAATACCATACAACAATAACGCCAACACTATGTTGATCATTCTTATTTAGAATAGAAATACTAACACGTACTAAAGAATGAATTGGCCATATGAAACGAATGCTGTGACGGCTTTATGTTCATGCTCGTTATAAGGCAAAGAAAGGCAAGGATATATGAAAAACAGGGATAGAAAGGACGTAAGCAGCACATTACAACTAAAGGGGTGACACGACACTATTGACGCCATAGTGTGCAGTAGTCAGGAGAATACCATACTACACGTAGTATCAACACTATAAAGCTGGATACAAACCATGTACCTTGCAACAGGAGTAGCAGGGGGTTACCTTTGCACTATATTATTTTTGTTGATCTGCTGCAACGGTACTACATGTGGTAGTGCTGATGGAGAAAGTCTTGTAGAAGAATGTCCAAAGGAGTGTCGCTGCAGTACCACATCTCCCTCTTCCAACACAGTTGATTGCTCCGGAAGGTCCATCAGATCCATACCCCTGGACATTCCACGTAATACAACCGTCTTAGACCTACGAAACATCGGTCTTTCTGAAATACCGCCATATGCATTAAGTCATCTGGAGAACTTAAACGCACTTTACCTGGGAGGAAATGACATAACAGCGTTCAACGAGAACAGTTTTGCGGGTTTAAAGGCATTGGAATACTTGAATCTGTTTCCAATTCATCCAGGAATGAATGTCGACTATAGTACCTTCCCTCCAACTTTGTTCCGTGAATTAACCTCGTTGAAAACCCTTCACATTGGTGGCATGGGTTCGGGTGAAAATGTTCAACAAGATTACATAGATTGCACATTAGCCCCTTTACACCAGTTGGAGGAGTTGTTTTTGTCTTATTTGCCTCACGGAAATTTATCATTTGGTCCTGGATATAGTAACCTATCGTCTCTGAAGACACTAGTTTTCAAGAGGTATTCAAGTACTGAGACACAGTTGCAAAAAAAGGCTTTCGTGTGGTTGAAAAATTGCCCAATCGAAAAACTTGCTTTCATTGACTGCAACATTAACCGTTCGGACCCAGATATGTTGTCTATTTTTCCACATTTAAAAGTGTTAGATCTGGAGTGCAGTTATTTTTTGTCTTCGCAAAATGTAGAAGATTTTATTTGTGGCTTAAAGAACAACACAGTCGAAACTATTCGCTTAAATAATATTTTTCAAAAACGAGATAATGGTGCCATACCTGTCTCACACTGGACGATATCAGCTTCAGCTTTCAAATGCTTAGAAAATACGCCACTGAGAACACTGGAATTAATAAAAAACAGAATAGAAGGATTTGACTTGAACAACTTGCATTATTTTCCGAATTTGGAATATCTTGATCTGTCAAATAATATCATGATGTTTTTCCCAGAAAATGAAAAGGAGAATGTTGGAGAAAACAGTGTTGGGGATTATTGGGCATATTTATATCCACTATTAAGAAAACTTAAGTATATGAGAATCGACAATAACTTGATAAACAAAAATAAGGACCCTCCAAAATGTGACTTAACGCATTCTTTTTGGAAAGGCCGCCCGTCATTCAAACTTAAACAATATGTACATGTAGCCAGGTCTTTAAATGAACAAAACATGCCTTTACCGGTTATAAAAGTGCTTTTACCTGCAAATTTGGAATTCGTGTCAATGAGTTGGTGGCCAGTTAAGGACGATGGAGTTTCTTCTTATTGTGCCTTAAGAGGAAGTTTATATTTTTATCCAAATAAGGTACGCTTTCTTAAAATGGAAGGAATTGGTACAAAATATATACCATATATATTTTATGGATTGGACAATTTGGAGCATCTCGATGTTTCCCATAATATCCTCAACTGTCTTCCAAGAGATTTTTTCAATGGTCACTTTCCATCGTTGAGGTCCCTAAATCTTGGTGACAACAAACTAGGACCTTTAATAAGTGAGGGTGGGATACTTCCAGTAAAACTCCCAGGCTTAGAGTTTTTGGATTTATCATTGAATGAGATCAGGACCATCCCTAAGAACTTTTTTGACCACCTTGTCTCCCTTCAGCGGCTGTTGCTGCGCGGCAATTACCTTAAAAAGGTGTCGTTCAGTATGGTTAATTTCGTGTCTGTGGAATACATAGATCTGAGCAACAACAAACTACAGGCATTTTCATCAGAAGAGATGGAAAATATAAGGAAACTAAATTCGAGCTTCAGCGTGCATTTGAATATGACGAACAATCCTGTAGACTGCACTCTTTGCGATGGGGAGGAATTTCTTCAATGGCTTATTTTTTCAAATATTACAGTAACATTTTCCAACGACTCCAACTGCCCCATGAATGGTTCAAAAATAAGTCTGTGGACTACACTGAATGAACTTCGGTAAAAAACATTCAAAGTTCATTCATGTAAATTCAAGGTTGCAAAATCCTCCAAGCGCGCATACGGAAAGTGCCGGTGATTCTCGAATCAGATCTCAAAGTCAAATTACAAACACCAGTATTAATTCAGGCGAGATCAAAAGCGTGAAACTACCGATAATTTCAGTGATGATAAATGGCGTGCACAAAGCTTTGGCGTTGTTAGACAGTGGGTCGACTTCATCGTTTATCTCGGAGCGTTTAGTGTCCACTGCAGCGCTCAGTACTGAAAGCACCGTGAAATATCATTTGAACACAATTGACGGCTCTAGGAGCGCGCGATCTCCTGTGGTTTCTTTTGACGTGTCACCAATTGAAAACAGGTCGGTGAAATACCGCGTGTCAAATGTTTTCGTCATTCCTCGCGTAAATGTGAGAGCAAATGACATGATTGATGTGGAATCATTCCCGCATTTGAAGGGAATACCTCTGAGTAACTGCACTGCAGCAGAGGGAGTTGACATAATCATAGGAATGGATAATGCCCATTTGATTATGCCTTTAGAAGTCCGTGTTGATGAAGATAGCACAACAGGCATATACGCGGCGCGTTCGCGTTTAGGGTGGACTATCAACGGGTCCGTAGATGATACTTTCAATGCTCATGTCTCTGTAAATCATTTGTCTGTGGATGTAATTCAGGGCAACTATTGGGATGATGATTTTGACATGGGAACTAAATTGTCTTACGAAGACAAAAGAGTGCTTTGTTTATGGGAAAACAGTGTTTCCATGAAAGACGGCCATTATGTTCTTCCAATCCCGTGGAAAGATAAGTGCCCGAAATTTCCCGACAATCGGTATGTAGCCGTTAAAAGGTTGCAAAATTTAGAAAGAAAACTCACAAATGAGGGGATATATGACCGATACAAAGACAATGTCACAAAGCTTATTTCTGATGGCTATGTAGAGCAAGTACCTCCCCATGAAATTGAGTTGAATGATGGAAGTGAATGGTACATTCCCCACAGACATGTTATCCATCCTGATAAACCGGATAAACTCAGAATGGTGTATGATTGTGCATGTACGGTGCAGGGTGTGAGTTTGAACAATCAAACTATGCAAGGTCCGGACTTCATAAATAGACTGATAGGGATTCTTTTGCGGTTTCGAAGGTACAAATACGCTATTATGGGAGACATAGAGTGTATGTATTATCAGGTGAGGGTACCCGAGAAGGATAGAAACGCGCTTCGTTTTTTGTGGCGAGAAGGAAATAGTTTAGTTCATTATCGCATGAAAGTACATTTGTTTGGAGGGAAATGGTCGGGAAGCGCGAGTTCGTTTGCTTTAAAGCGCACTGTCCGAGATCAGGAAGTGAGCCTTATAGTGCGTGATACCGTGAATGATTCTTTTTATATTGATGATTTGCTCGCGTCTGCTAAGACCAAAGATGAAGCTTTCGAGATAATTCGTGGCACAAAGGAAGCTGTAGCATTTGGTGGTTTTAATCTAACCAAATTTGTCTTCAGTGATGAGGAACTTTATTGTGCTGTAAATGAGAATGATCGAGCGAAAGAAGTGAGAGAACTCACACCGAATGTGTATACAAAAGCACTGGGTATCAAGTGGAATGTTATGAGTGATACCTTTTACTACGAGTTTGCTTTCAAAAGCAGTGACAAAGTCACGAGGCGCGTGATGTTGAGCATGGTTGCTTCTGTATATGACCCACTGGGCCTGTTGTCACCTGTGGTCATTCAAGGGAAACGTATTTTCCAAGATTCTACGCGTCTGAAATTGAGTTGGGATGAACCCGTGCCTAGAATGATTGAGAATAAATGGCTGGCATGGGTGAACTCTTTGGAAAATGTCAGAAATATTGAGTTCCCTAGAGTGGTGATTCCTGAAAAAGTGTGTGACGGTGTGTCTGAATTGCACATATTTTGTGATGCTAGTAGTGCGGCTTACGGAGCATGCGCTTATCTCCGCACTGTCAGTCCTCGCGGTGAAATTTTCGTGACCCTGCTTTTTGCTCGAGGCCGGTTAGCACCCTTGAAAAGTGTCACCATTCCTCGCTTAGAGTTGACTGCTTGTGTCACGGCAGTAGAAGTTGACATTATGATTAGAAAAGAAATCAATGTTCTGCTTTCAGCAACTACATTTTGGACTGATAGCAAAATTGCACTAGCATACATTTCAAATGATGTAAAGCGATTTAAAACATTTATTTCAAACCGGGTCTCTTTCATAAGAGAAAACACAAATGTGTGTCAGTGGAAGCATGTTCATGGCAAGTCGAATCCGGCTGACGTTTTATCTCGCGGATGTCAATCAAACGAGCTTTCTCAAAATTGGTTTACTGGAGCAAAATTTCTGTCAAAATACAAAAGCGAATGGCCAACAGAGGAGACGGATTTTTTGGAATGTTCGGGTGATCTCGAGATCATTTCAAGCAATGTCGTGAATGTTTTCAATCCGAGTGAAGAGAGTAAATCTCCTTTAGAAATGCTATGGAACTTTTATTCTAGCTTTTACAAGCTATGCAAAGCAGTTGCGTGGTTGCTGAGATTTAAGAAATTTTTCCGCTCAAAGACGCTAGACAAAGGGCATATTACTGCGGCTGAACTAAAAATCGCGGAAGATGAAATCATCAAGGCGGTACAAAGAGACAGTTTCTCTCACGAGTTAAAGTCTCTAAACAAAACAGGCCAAGTTTCGAAATCAAGTAAAATTCACGATCTTTCTCCCGTNAAATCATTCCCGCATTTGAAGGGAATACCTCTGAGTAACTGCGCTGCTGCAGAGGGAGTTGACATAATCATAGGAATGGATAATGCCCATTTGATTATGCCATTAGTAGTCCGTGTTGATGAAAATAGCACAACAGGCATATACGCGGCGCGTTCGCGTTTAGGGTGGACTATCAACGGGTTGGTACATGTAGATGATACGTTCAATCCTCATGTCTCTGTAAATTATTTGTCTGTGAATGTAATTCAGGGCAGATGTTGGGATGGTTTTGATAAGGGGACAAAATTGTCTCATGAAGACAAAAGTGTGCTCCGTTTATGGGAAAACAATGTTTCCATGAAAGACGGTCATTATGTTCTTCCAATCCCGTGGAAAGACAATTGCGCGAAATTTCCTAACAATCGGTGTGTGGCCGTTAAAGGGCAGCAAAATTTAGAAAGGAAACTCACAAATGAAGGGCTGTATGACCGATACAAAGACTATGCTTCAAAGCTTAAGAGATTTAAGAAATTTCTCCGCTCAAAGGCGCTAGACAAAGGGCATATTACTGCAGCTGAACTAAAAATCGCGGAAAATGAAATCATCAAGGCGGTACAAAGAGACAGTTTCTCTCACGAGTTAAAGTCTCTAAACAAAACGGGCCAAGTTTCGAAATCAAGTAAAATTCGTGATCTTTCTCCCGTCGTTCAGAATGACACACTAGTTGTCGGTGGTAGACTAATTCATTCTGCACTGAAGTGTAAGCAACCATCGATTTTACCTAGAAAGCATGTTGTTTCCAATTTGATTGCTCGAGAAGCGCATGAAAGTGCACATTTAGGTACGGAATTGACTCTAAGTGTGATACGAAGAAAATTTTGGATAGTGGGTGGTAGAAACTTGGTGAGAAAGATACAAAAAGAGTGTGTTGTATGTAGGCGTTTTGTATGCGTCGCCAATGATTCAAAAAATGGCTGATTTGCCCGGTGATAGGTGTTCTGAGGGAGGACCCCCCTTTGATGTAGTTGGAATTGATATTTTTGGACCTCTCAAAGTCAGGGTAGGTCGCTCAGAAGTTAAACGCTACGGATGCGTTTTCACGTGTTTTAAAACAAGAGCGATTCACTTGGAGAAAATTTAGAAACAAGCGCATTTCTCAACGGTTTCATACGATTCGTATCGAGACGCGGTTGTCCCACAAAAGTTTACAGTGATAATGGCACAAACTTGGTAGGGGCGGTAAATGAAATGAACAAATGTTTACGGCAGTTAGACAAAGTAAAGATCATGTCAGAAATGAGACGAAAGGGAATTGATTGGATTTTTAATCCACCACACGCTTCTCATTATGGTGGTGTATGGGAGAAAATGATTCGGACAATAAGAAAAATTTTGATGGCTGTGCTGGCAAACTGTGCTAGGTCTTTAACCGATTGGTCTTTGCAGACTGTATTGTGCGAATGTGAGTGTATAGTAAATGGAAGACCCATTACTAAAATCGGTGAGAATGTGAATGATTGTGATGCGCTCACACCAAATCATTTGTTAGCAATCAGAGGAATTCCTTCCTATCCATGGGGAAAATTTGATATTGCTGACACTTACAGAAAGCTGTGGAGACATGTCCAATTTCTGGTGTCTCAATTTTGGAAAAGATGGACTCGAGAATATTTACCTACATTGCAGGCTCGTTCAAAATGGCATTGCATTCAGAGGAATTTGAAAGTCGGTGACATTGTCCTTGAAGTAGACGAATCAATTCCTCGTGGACTTTGGCCTCTGGCCATAGTAGAAAGCACCAACGTGGGTAGAGATGGTTTAATTCGAAGTGCAGTTATTCGCACTAAAACGTCCACGTATACTAGACCTATCACAAAACTTGTTTTATTGGAAGGGAATGATAACGATTGAGATATTTGTATGTTTAAAAATGCAATTTGAAAATGTGGATTGTATGATCAATATTAAGTAACATCTATTCATCTAGTCATGTGATGAACTGTATAAAAGCCGATGTTGCATGTACTCTGCGCGGTCATTTATATACTTACTGGCAGAGTGGAGGTATGTTACGATATTACGTTTAGATTGTGTAAAATTTATGTGTTTAATAAAGTGTAATTCAATAATATAGAGATATTTTGTGTAGTTTACAAAAGTTTACATAAGTTTACTTAAGTTTAATCAGTAACATAAGTTATGAGCATCGTGTTTATTAAAATTTATGTTAGTATGGGTGTGACATTTTCATGACCAACACGCACATGTATATTTATGTTATCAAATAAATTTACAGTACCAGCTCAGATTTCTATGGCCGTATCTGAGCAGCCAGTTAATAGCGGAGAAAGCGAGTCTGGATATTGTTCTAGGGTGAGTGTTTTAAAATTAAATAATAAATAGTAAAAACTTACACACATGCAAAGATCAATTATTTGTTGTTAAGATCACATGAATTAAGTTGTTTATTATATTTAGTTTATTTATCTCATTATTTTACTGTTTTGTTATTATTATTATTTTTTTCTTTTCTTTTTATAGTTTTCACCAGTTTTGTCCAGTTTCTGTTCAGTTTTTGTTCAGTTTCTGTTCAGATTCTGTTCAGTTCTGTTCACTGCGTGAATAAACGGCAGTGTTATCCAATGGTGTTGCTTCATTTACTCGTGGTCCGCTACACCGTGGGTAGGGGAAATAGCTTTATTGAGGAAAAAATTCTATTTAGCGTGAAAATTGCGACTGGACATCTTTTAGATTAGCCGTCTAAGCAGAGCCAAAAAGCCAATATTTAACACTAAGCAGGTCTTTGCTGTAATTACGGACACGAATGACGCGTTCAAACTTACTTTTATGACAGCCCGTGGAAATATACTTTTAACTTTTCTAGCATCCCAAAATATTTACACGTTATTTTCGTTGTAATGAAGTACTTTATCTTGTGAAGTGCGTTTATCACGGAAACATGGTTTACTTCAACGTGTAATTATCTTTTAGCTACTAATTTTTAGAGTTGTTTATTCTTCTCATAAGGAAAGGACGATCACCATAGCATCAATCGCCCTAACGTGAAACATGTACGTGTACCACGTAAACGGCATTCTTTACACGTTAACGTAGAGATATATGGCGACAGTTTGAATAACACTTTTAATACAGATTTGTGCTTGATGCGGTTTTGTTGTTAGCCTGGTTAAGGAATGCCGTCACGATGTGCATTTATTACGGTGGCAAATTACCTGTGAAAAGAAGGCGGTTGTATTTGACACCGGAACTCAGAATTAACAGACAGCACTCAGGTAAAGTAGGCGTTCACTAGCACTAAAATATTGCTGTAAGTATGGAATATGTCATAAAGACATCATATACTGAGCTCATAATTTTACCCATTTGTTCAATTAAGGTGGCCCATCCCACCGAATTTTTTCCACCCATAAAATTTATACCTAATTATGTTGAAGCTTAATCATTTGAAAGTCGCCATAGAAGAAACATGGGTGCTGTCCACCTCAGCGTCGCCGCTGTTCTGTTTGTTGTAACATTTTGGCAGACTGCAGCTACGGAGGAAGGAGAGAATAGTACGTATTTAATAAGGCGTAATTCTGTTTATTACATTCACTTTTGATTGTTACTTATTAACCTAACATCAATATTTATTTGTTTACTTACTTCATTAAGTTTTTTAATATTCTTAGTCCCTAGTTGGAAATTAAATTAAGTTGTATTATATTTCTTAGTCTGTCCAAATGTATTGCTATTAAAATGCTCATTAAAACTATAGGTTTTGTTTGTATTCGACTCTCTGCGAATCTACTGAAATGGTTGATTCCTAAGGTACGCTCGATTTGGCTGTTGAGTGTGAGTGTGTGTTTGTTTGTGTGTAACAATTACAAAGCCAAAATCTTTATGTATATTTGTTGTATTTTGTAGAGAGAAAAAATAAAATATAGCAATCAACTTTTCTAAATAAAGGTTATTAACACATGTGATAGAACATCACAATCAAAGTGAACCAAGGATATTTTCCACCATTCTGAATAAATATTCTCAAGAAGTTTAACCTTCTTTAATAGAAAACTGTAATTATCAAAAAAAAAAAAAAAACATAAATGGCGATTTTGTTTTAGTAACATGAGGCGTTTTTGATACCACGAAGTAATTAATGCACAATATTTTTAAATATTTTAAATATTTTTAAAAAATGATAAGCTGCATAAAAAAAATCATCCGGGCTTCTTACGTAATTTTTTTCAGCTGAATCTATCCCACCAAATGAAGTTCAAACTTTTTAATCGGTGAACCGCAAAATTTTACATATTTTTCACATTTTAATTTAAAAATTTTAACGTACATATATTCGACTGTTTGAGAGGAGACTGTATAAGTTGGGTGAATCAAGTTCATACCGCACAAGGAATATTATTTTAGAAATGCACCCTTAATGCACTTATTTGATAATGATTTATTGCTCGTCTCATGTTAATTAATCTACCTCACTGCGTCACTGGTATTTACGCCTTTGGAGCTGAATTAATCAACAATTTGTCATTCAAAATGTAACTATGAACGAGTTATCTTGACTTTGTATTCAAGCAATTACCCGCCCATTTACGTAGTTATACGTTTTGGCGTCCATATAAGGCTCTGTTCTCACAACTTTTAGATCGATCTATCACCGCGGGGAGTCTCACTAGATTACTGTCAGATAATCCGCCTTAAGTGTCCGTCCCCGCCTACTACAAGCTATAAGGGGTAATTAACTTTCGTGTCCGCCCGGCTGACAGCTATTTAGCGTGAACCCCCAGGGAGTTAGGTCGATCCAATGTAGGTCGATCTAATCTATGAGAATGGGGTGTAAGAGGCCACCTACTAATAAATTCAGTGCACATAAATTTAAAATACACCAAGAGTTGTTTGAAGCAATGCTGAAATAAGTGCTCAATAGATCAAGAACTTGCTATATACCGGCACAACAATATTGCCTCTGTGCGACAAATATTTTAACAGTTTTTCAGTTTTTATTCCTGTTTCAAAATTTTACCCTAATGTTATAGTGATAGCTAAACTGGCAAACAACTGAAAACGCCGTGCAGCTATTTAAAAGACGGTTTGCATTGACCCATTTAAGGTCGGCCACTTTTGTCTGCCAGTCATTAAATGAAAATCAAGTGACATAATGGTTCTTAGTCAATTTCATCTTATGCACTATTTGTTTACTACAGTTGCAGGTCATCCACTGTTTCAGCAGCAAGAGTATCACTAGTTTATCAACACAAGTGTAATTTGGACTTACTATCAGTTCACACGATTTAATGAGATTACACCCAAAATTAAAAATACAAATTAAAAAAATCTGTCAATAGGCTTGGGCATGTTATTTTTTTTATTCAAAACAGGCAGCCATTTATGAAAATCAACAGGGCACATTCTAGGTCTTTTAGTTGTCCAAAAAACAAGCAAGCAAAAAACAAGCAAAAATTGCGTCCTATATCGTGACACACACACGCACACGCACACACACACACACACACACACACAAAAAATGAAAAAAAATAAAATAAAATAAAATAAATAAAAAACCGACTGCAAACAAACAGATTGATATACTTGCCAAAATGTTTTCGCAAGTAAAGGAAACATTTATGCTTATAATACAAAGGTGGTGAGTTACTGGCATGAATTATTTACTTCATTCGTATATGTGGTTTTGATAAAGTTGTCGATAGTCTCCTCTCTTTGCCCTTTCCAAACACCGATTTGTGGTCTGTGTACTCATCCACTGTAATACTTTTATTTTACCACCTTTAGTTCTTGTCGGATTAATATATACTTGTCGGAGTTATCTTCTGTGTGAAGGGTTGGTTGATTACACGTCACGTCCTTATCTTAAGTTAACTGTTACGTTATATAGAACGTGTCTATACGTGAGAAAAAAAATATAACTTTGTTTTGAAACACATGGTTCTAAATTCCTAAATGCTATCATTAATTAGTTGTCTACTTATCTCATTGCAGAGTATTGTGGCGAACCACCCCAGGTCGCGTTTGCATATCGAATAGCATTAGCAAAGAATTACAGGAAAGGCGAGAGAATCCGCTATACTTGTGAAAAAGGTAGGCTCATGTAATAAAAAGGCAGGAAATGATGTGTGTCAATTTTTTTTGAGAATGCAGGTTTATGCACTATGGGGACTTAATCTAGTATACTGTGAACCGATTGTTTACAATGTATAGGGCAGGTTTAGTGACATTATATGTTATACGGCATTATACGGCATGGCAATTGAGATCTCTGTTCAGCACCAACAGCGGTCTCCTGCTTCGTTGTCAGCAATTTCTAAGAGAATCTTATCAAAATACTCTTTAAATTTAAAAATTAATGTGGGAAAAGTCGTTCAGTGTATTTTCTAACCTTTAATTTACCGGGGTATTATACCTAGAATGGTATTTTAATATTTACATATTGTTTTTATTAAAAAAAATTAATCCCTTGTATCTAATGATGAAAGACAAAATAGCGATTCTCTTCGTTTCCTCTAGGATATCAGCATGTTGGCGGATCTTCATACAAATTCTGTCTCACGGGAGTATGGGTTGGGCATAACATTATATGTGAACGTAAGTAGAAAATAAATGATTTACTTAAAAATCATCACACAATGTCAGGGGTTGTAATGTTTATATTCACAACCCCCTTTGCGGTAACTATATCTTATTCTTTTATTTTATGTTATTATTTACATCACCATAAATTTGTGCAGTAAATGGGTTCAACTGGTTTATCTATTAAAAGACGTACAGAATAGGATTGTTTGACATTATACTTAAAACAGTAACAGTTATGGTGTATATTTTTTACAAGTGCTAGCTTCACCTGTTGTATGTAGAAAAAACTTTTATCGCTTAGTATGTGTATTTTCTTGAACTTGTAGAGTATTTTAAAATATATATATACAATATTTAATAGAATATTTAAATGAGCATACCAAAATATGGATTGACGTTGGTGAATTTTTTGTGACTTTGACTATAGAAATTGCACCACCAACATCCAATTTGTACCCTGGGGCTTTGTTCGACTACAAGCGCCAATGCTGCCAAAAAGGATTGAGGGCTCGAACCGGAAATGAGTCATGCGCCACCTTGGCCAAGTCGATGTGCGAACCGTGCAAGACTGCCTTCCTGAAATGCTGTCCTGACCAGGACCTGCCTCAAGAAGATGTTCAGCCGAGTAAGGGACTATTAGACTATATGGTGTTATTTATCTATCAGGCCCGAAGCCGCCAGCGATTTCAAAGGGGGGTGGGTGGGTTCTAAAAAAAAATGGACCTTTTCTTTGAAACCTTCTTGCATCTTGATCAAATTTCGTCCAGAGTGGACAATCTCTCGGCAGAAGTGCGGTTCTTTCTAATCCCTCGAATCCTCCTGGCTACTGACCGGTCTACTTATTTATATAAACATTGGGGTGAGTGATTAGCAACGTTTTGACAATACTGATATTGAATATACAATATATGCATTATAAAAAGTTATATAACCTGATGGTTGTCCAACGGACTGGACCACGGTCATGTGTCACGGTTCTGAAAAGGAATGTAAGAGATAAATTCAATCGTTATGAAAATTATGTCTACTTATGTTTACCATCCAAGGTGGTAATATTGCTTTAGGGGCTTGGGGGGGGGGGGGGGGGGGGGGTTGCGCTGCCATTAGTTAACGTTAACGGCGTCTCAGTTTGTATGCCAGTATGTACACAAAATTTTAGGAGCTAATTTTTACTCTATGTCATTATCCATTCTGTTTATTTTACCTGTCTGTAGTATGTCATATTTAGCAAGCATGTAATATAATATAATATAATATAATATAATATAATATAATATAATATAATATAATATAATATAATATACCAGTGAGCTGTTCACAGCCTCCCAAGGCCGCATACGCCTACGTATCAGCCCCAGAGAAGTTATACGAACATGGAGGAAAAGTCCACTACATTTGTCTGAAAGGTACTTAAAAAACTTTTTTTAGAAAGCACAAAATCAAATACATTGAGTATGTAGTAAGTTTGCCATTTAATTTACTAGTCTGTCATCCTGTAAAGCTCTCCGAATATTGTCTTGAAAAGTGGAACTAGAAAGTGGAAGTCTTTTTTCCGGGTATTTATACAGCGTTCCTTTTTCTTAAGGCTATCAACACACCAACGGCTCCACACACAAAGTTTGTGAAAATGGAACATGGACGGGGGAAGATATTGGCTGCGAAAGTAAGTTATCATATTAATGGGTCACATGAATATTTTCTCAATTTTTTTTCTTTTTGTATTTATACGAATATTAAAAGTGCAATTAGTAATAACGCAAGCTATGCGGTTAAAATAGTAAGAGAAATACGTATTTGCAGTATATGAATGGTCGTCTAAAGGTCATGTTCAGGACCAGTTGGGCTGCGGACTAACTAGTCCACGGATCAAACATGTCTGCAGGGGCAGGGCAATTAAATACTGGCTTGCTTTCAAGTTGGTCACGCCAAATTGATCCGCCGACTAGTTAGTCCGTGGATCAACTGGTCCTGAACAGGCCCTCAATATAATAAACATAAATTACATGAACTTGTGCATATTTGTGTTTCTTTCTTATCAGAGATTACACTGCCTCCAAACCCGGACATTGACCCAGATGCACTGAAGGATTACATTCGGATGTGTTGTCTTAAGGGGCTGAAAACCAAGGCCGGAAGCGGAACCTGCAAGGAACTGTCTCTCCCCATGTGCGAACCTTGCAAGACCCCGTTTCTGAAGTGTTGCGTGGATAAAACCATCAACATATATAGATCGACTCTTTATACAGCAATTACGTCATATTCAAAATTATTAGTAAATTAAAAGTTGTTTCTAATTTTTGGTGATTGCATTTTATCTGTATTAACATAACCAAACATTGCGTTCTGGTATTGTATTTTATGTGAAACGAATGCACTATCTGCTTTATTCACAGTAACTGAATTGTCTTTCATTTCGAGGATTGAATCTGTATCAACAGCAATTGCGAACAAATTAAACCAAGTATATTTTGGTGTAAAATAGTTTGTATCTGGGTATTATTATAGGTGTTCAATATACATTGGAATAAACCTACACAATAATTTTTATCATCATGTTTCCTCCCATTATTCACAATGCAGTACAGGGCTAGATATGAATCCACCATTTCGTATTGGGAATCAACCTGGAGGTTTGTGACAAATGCTAACATGAGTTTAAATAATTTTTCTCACATTAAGCATAAATTAATTCATTAAAAGGTCCGCATCTACCCTGCTTTTTGATTATCAATTATAGATTTGTAAAAAAAAAATTAAGTTTTTCCTTAGAGGCATATACAGTACACAGTTCGAGGAGCAATGTCACAGCTTCGCATTTATCATGTGCACGGTACATCTTAGTAGAATTCATACTGCCGCTATTTTTTATTTTATTAATTTCCCTACTGGTTATTACACATGGACGTTTATGTATTAAATGTGCTGTTTTAGTTATCCTGATTTATAGATGTGGAGTACTGAGCCGAATCCACTTCAAAAGTAGCCATCCAGAACCGCAGCAATACAAATATGACGGACCTAAAATGCAAAGACGTCCCTGACATACATGTATGTCCCGAAATTCTTATATTCAGAAATTCTAGGACATGATCGAAATTTCATTTGCAACATTATACAGTGTAATTATGCACTATCAATAACGATGTTGGTAATAACACGAGAATTAAAATATGATTTACTAACTTAAAAATGTACATTGACCAGTTTTGCTCAGTGTTCATTCACTTTTGTTTACTAAAAAAGTGGTCCACTTACGTTAACACAAGGCGGGGCAGAGAGCGCATACATCACCGCCGCGGAAACGTCCAAGGGCTGCAGGGCCTATGGCAAAGTACAGAAATAATATGTATATACAATTTAAGATTTTATCAAAAGATCCGTCTATCAATTAACATCGAAGAAATGAATTGCTTTTACCGCGCGCGTATGTAAGTAACCAGTTCACCCCTCCTCTCCACTTTTCCTGGACAAATTCCTATGCAACGAGTAACGTTCTTGTTTTCATTCTCTCTCGTTTCTTGCCTTCTTGGCGTTATAATAATAGAAAGTTTTCTATCTTAAAGTTATCCATATTGCAATTATCCACGTATCTGCATGCAGGACCCAGCCCTGAACCGTTCAAATGGCATAAGGGATTTTTAAAACTTAAAGTCACTTTTGAATTGACAAATCACAGACGTATAGCGGAGAAAACATTTCTGAAGTAGATGTGCAGGTATAAGGTAGTAATCAATAAAACAAAACCTGCCTTTTCTGGAACTTGCAATGCCTCCTCCAGGAGGAAATCTTCTGTGGAACCAGTCTGCACCAAACTCGGGCATATGACCTGTTCAATGAAATCACAACTGCCTGTACGATAGAAAAAAAAAAGAAATATATATATATATATATATATATATATATATATATATATATATATATATATATATATTTTTTTTTTTTTTTTTTTTTTTTGGGGGGGGGGGGCATGAGTTCTCTATTGGTCTACAAGTGATATGAATAAAAAATATTCACATATATGGGACACCGGCACGTGAAAAGCTCTTAGACCAACAGCGCAACATCTCCTTGGCGTAGACGCCCACAGACGCTTTAAATGACACTAGATTGAAAAGACTACGAACCGTTGTTCTAATCGTGGAGTTCTCTTTTCTCAGCTCGTGACGCAGACCCTCTGTGATGGCGTTCAGTGCGTGCTTGGTTGCTGAATAAGTGTGCAAGTTGCCATATTCCAGTACAGCATGGCCCATTGAGCTGCAAAAGAAAAAGAAACATAATTTGCAGATTGCATTATTCAAATAATTTCATTCAAAGAAACCGCAGCTTTCTTATGAGGGCGATGTCCCTTTGATTATCCTACCTGAATCAAATGTATAAACGTTTTGCATGGACACAGGGAGACGCCAATATAATGTTAGGTTTTGATCTATGACTCTCTGTCATGGGGGACTCTCTATCACGTTACACTGGTACCAATAGTTATTTTGTTAGTAACTCCTACGGAATACTCCATTGCAAGACAGGACCAATGACCTTGGCCCCAAATCATGAACGGTGTTATCCCAGTAAATACAGAACGTTCTTTGTTTATGTAAACGTTATGGTGACGTTATAATAATGCATTGTGTTTGCTGGGATTAGGTCGCTGTGCAATTGATGTACTCTCACCCACCACAATTTATTAATAATTAATTATAATGAGACTTGAGCTGCCTTGGCAGAGGTCTATGTTCTCTGTGTGCTTTTTTAGTTGTCATATCTTTTGATCTCTTGTTTGAGCATTTATTAAGGATAAATGGAATAAAAAATTAAATTTCCTGTCATTGCCCTCTTTGCAAAAAATTAATGAAGCGATTTTATACTCATTTGACAATATCATTTTACAACTATTTCCGCCTATTATGCATGAGTCATGCTCTTTCTCCATCACTGCTGCCAAACTGCCCATCAGAGACATGCAAACCAACACAAGAACATTAATTTAAGAAAACAATCAACAGCAATCCCCAGAAGGAGAGAGGGATGGAGTACGAGAGATGGATTTACCTGCTAATGTTAATAATATGTCCGTCATTCACATTGCGTTCCTTCATAGACTTAATGGAGAGATGTGCAACCGTGGTGGCAGCCAGTAAATTCACCTACAAAACACATCATATTTAATACAACGAGATAAACCGGTAGGCACAGTGTTCAGGGTGCAAGAGAAATTAGACCCTATTCCCATAGATTTTAGAT